TGTTTCCAATATTTATCTATTGTGAATTATGCTGCTATATCATTGATATGGCTGTGTCCCTGTAGTATGCTGTTTTTAAGTCTTTTGGGTATAGACTGAGGAATGGGATAGCTGTGTCAAATGGTGGTTCCATGCCCAGCTTGCCAAGGAATCTCAATATTGCTTTCCAAATTGGCTGCTCCAATTTGCAGTCCCACCGGCAATGTATGAGTGTGAATTTTTCCCCACATCCTCAGCAACACTTATTGTTGTTTGTATTCTTAATAGCTGCCATTCTGACTGGAATGAGACAAAATCTTAGAGACTCATGCTATGTAGCAGGCAATCTTAAGAGATGGGTCTTGAGACATTTACAAATTCCCAAACAAGAAATACCATTATAGCATGGAATTTCTCTCACAAAGTGCAGCCAAGTATTACCCAAATCTTTCATTTAACTCCTTAAGACTTATATAATTCTGTGAATTGAGAGCTAGATTCATTAATAAAGCTAATAATAAAATTCTGTCTGGAAAATTTATTGAAAATTTGTGAATTTTCTCTCCTTACCTCCTCACAGAATGCACGACAAAATTCATCATATGCATCCAAACCACTTGTCCATGTGGAATTCCAACTCCATAATTCACCCCAAATTTCTATTTTTCTGAATAAGCACAGATTTCTTCACTTTTTCTTCAGTTGTGGGCTGATACTATTTGCTGGTTAGATTTAGAATATTTTTGCTGTTACCTTGTTTTGCTTTTTCCCTGTTTGTTCTTTTGTTTAGAGGGGGCATTTTCCAAAAGATATAGAAACTTTCATGTTTCACAATAGGTACATGGATGGAAACATGAGCTAAGAACTATAAAGTCAGGCTGACATAATGATGCTTGCTGCTGAACAGGCTCGAGCCCAGGTTAAGTGAAAACTCTGCAAACCATGTGTGCATTGACAAAGTTCTAATTATTACATTATGTGGCTCACTGGAGTTCCTTGAAAGCAATTACAACTTCATATGTAAATTCTCTAAATGTCTAAGGTGTTATAATGATTTTTAAAATATTCTAATATAATCTGCAAATATATAGCCTTCCTAAGTGGAGGTGGGAAAGAGAATAAATTAGTGAGAATTAGTGAGCCCTGTGAAAGGGGCTGGGTTACTTGCTTTACAATTTAGAGACATTATATCATTTATTTAATTCTTCCAATAACTTTTTTGTTTTGCTTTTTTGTTCTGTTCTGTTTTTGTTTTACTGCTATTCATCCAACTAAGGCATTGCTTAGCTTAAGTGTGTACTCTACTGCCAAGCTCTACCCCAACACCCTCCCAGTAAATTTACGAGTTAGCTATATGATTCCTACTTTTATTTATTTATTTTTATTATATATGACAGTGGAATGCATTACAATTCTTATTACACATATAGAGCACAAATTTTTCATACCTCTGGTTGTATGCAAAGTATACACACAACAATTTATGTCTTCATAAATATACTTTGGATAATAATGTCCATTGCATTCCACCTTCATTTCTAACTCCATGCCCCCTCCCTTCCCCTCTAATTCCTCTGCCCTATCTATAGTGCCTCTATTCCCCTCACTATGAATCCTATCCCACTATGAATCAGCTTCCTTATATCAAAGAAAACATTCAGCTAACTTCACTTAGCATTATCTTCTCTACCTCCATCCATTTAACAGCAAATGGCATGATTTTATTCTCTCAATGAGAAATTCTCCTACCCCTTGAATATATGCTTGGCTATGTGCCTTGTTTTGGCTAATAGGATTTTAGTGGCCATGAGTAGAGGCTTGTCTTGGGATTGCTCTCTTAACTTCCTGCCTTCAACCAAAAGAGGAGCATGCTATGGGTGGCCCCTAGTCCTGAATGATGGGAGACACACCAGGAGTGAGGCCTTCCTGAAGCCAGATTGGATCAGCCAATCTTCAACTTTAGTTAGAAATGAAGGTGGAATGCAATGGACATTATTATCCAAAGTATAGATGTGTCAGGCAGAAATAGTACTCTATGCCACTGTTTTGGGGGTTTGCTAGACGACAATACTGCAGTATACTTGATAAAGATGTTGTTTGATTAAAGAGTGTGCACTATTTTCTAAAGTATTACTTCTAAAACTGGACTATACTTTTAATCTAATGGGTCCATTTTTCAGGTCAACTCAGTAGATTACTTAATTAATGTGTGTTATTTGTGTTTCAAGTAGTATAATGTTTAAAATTGAAGACTCAAGAGCAATTCCTGAAACAAGGTATTTCTTACAAGCAAAGTTCACCATGGCATTTACCGCTTAGCTTTATCTAGAGGTAAGATTTCTCTTGCTACTGCCACTCATGTCACCCCTGAAAGCCTGATGTCAGCATTTGGAGCAGAACCATCTATCAACAAGAGCCATGGTTTTTTTTCCTCCTCAGGTAACAAGGCACAGGAAAACTCCCCAGGTAGCCACAGATACAAGAAAAAGGAGAGAAGGGAATGAGTGGCCTTCTACTCATGGGAGTGGGAGCTAAGCCCCTCTTAAATGTTTTACCATTGCTTTTAGGATTCATTAATACCAAAATGCCATATATGATACTTTAAATTAGCCAGACACTATGGTGATACCTGTAATCCCATCAACTTGGGAGGCTGAGACAGGAGGATCACAAGTTCAAGTCCAGCCTCTGCAAATTAGAGACCCTGTCTCAAAATAAAACATAAAAGGGCTGGGGATGTAGCTCAGTAATAAATCCCTCCTGGGTTAAATCCCCAATACCATAAAGAAACGAAAACCACTTTAACTTGATAATGAAGCACTGGGTGCATCTCCTTTATGATCTGCCAGCGATGAGACCACCAGCCCATATTGGAAAGTTTAGGTCCAAAAGTTACTGGAAGACCTATGGCAGACATTCACTTTTAGTAGAACCCCAGGAGCAAGTCATGATCTGTATTTCAAAACAAAAACAATGAATTTATAAAGATGTCTGAGTCTTGTTCTAAAATCTTGGGGATTCATACTGATTCTCTCATCTGGACTTGCTGCAGGCTCTATTTATATTCCTCATCCACTCTGGACACTCAAGCACTTTGTTGTGTACCTTAGAAAAGCTTAAATTACACACTCTTTATATTGAAGTCTGACCAACCATGAAGTTTGTTTTCATTTGTCTTGCACTGGTCCACTGGAAATATTTTTGGATGGTGATTAAATGAGTCAGAGAAGATCTAATTCAGTCTATCTTGCTTCAAAAATCCCAAGATGCCTGCTAAACATTGCTTCTCTTTCTTAATGGAAGGGGCACAGGGTGAACAATCATTTCCTCTGGACCAAATATCCCAACTCGATGCAAACAAACAGATCATACAAACTTGATAGGTGGGTACCTAAATTTTCAGAAACTTTATCTCTCAACTACTGGCACACACATATTAGGGTGTCTATTATTTACTGCTACCAGGTCTTGCCAGTATGACATCAAAGATGTAATGCACAAATGTATTGTCTTATAAAAAAACAGATTTGACATAAGCCTTTGACAACATTGATTTTTGAATAGTTGGAAAATGCCTCAATTTCATGACTAGGTATGTCAGACAGTATGGCAGTTTGTATCATAAAAAATAACAATAACAAAAAAACCAAAAAACTATCTCTGTACATCTACTAATTTCAACTGAATTGGTTGAGTTTTAATAATTCATTGTCAATCACTAAAATACAGACAGCCAAACTGGTGAGCTAAATGAGAATATAATAGCAATTGATTCTGTCTTAGGTCATTTTCTGTTGCTAAACCACATACTGAAGAACTGAACAGGCACTTCACAGAAGAAGTATGATAGGTCAACAAAAATATGAAAAAAAAATGTTCAACATCTCCAGCAGTTAGAGAAATGCAAATTAAAACTACACTGTGATTTCATTTCACTCCAGTCAAAATGGGAATTATCCAGAATCCAAGTAACAATTAATGTTGGTGAGGATGTGGGGGAAAAGTATAATCATACATTGCTGGTGGGACTGCAAATTGGTGAAACCACTATAAAAACCCGAATGGAGCTTCCTCAGAAAACTTGAAACAGAACCACCATTTGAGATTATATATATATTTGTGTATTTTTTTAGCTAAAAAACAAGCTGTAACTGAAAAGCAATGTCTTAATAAATTGCATTCCTACTCTTCCTGTAAAAGGCCTAAAGTGCTCTGTGAAATGGCTTGCCATTCATTTAACCCAGAGAATCCTACAAAATCAAGCAAAGCAAAAGATTCAACTCTTTATGTTCAATTGTTTTTAAAGTATGGCATTCCTAATACAAGTTCTTACACACAATAGACACACAGTACTTTTTTCCCTTTTATTGTGGTACTGAGCATTGAACTCAGGGGTGCTCTATTACTGAACTACATCAATAGTCCCTTTGCATTTATTTATTTTGAGACAGAATCTTGTTCATTTGCTAAATCTGGCCTTAAACTGGCTATTATCCTATCTTGACCTTCTTAATAGCTGGGATTACAGACCTGCACCTCTGGATGATGCTCAGTTCTTTTTAAAATTTGATCTTTATTATGATCATCATCCAAGGTTCAGTTGTGGGGAACTTGCGTAGGCTGGGCAAGACATTGCTTTCAATCTTCAGGAGTAATGATGAGATGATGATGATGATGATAAATTAAATAATCAACAAATTCTAGGACTTATGTAGACATCACATCCTGCACTGAGGTAAAATATAACTCTCCACTTAGCAAGTCTGAGCTACCTATACACTTTCAAAGAGTGAGGAACAAAACGGAGAATAAAAGACTAACTTTCCAGTGGAGGAACCTAGGAAATACTACTTCAGGAAGGTGATGAAAAAACTGTGTTCTGTGGGCAGGACATATTCTTGATAAAAGGTTATGAGAATGACACTTTACTTTTGTGACTTCTCTCCAAAGTCTATAATCCCATGCTAATTATGAGGAAAAATATTAGACAAATCCTAAATGAGGGACATTCAACTAAATACCTGGTCAGTATTCCTCAAAGCTGCCAAGATCTTAATGAAGTCTGAGAAACTGCCCCAGTCAAAAAATCCTAAGGAGACATGATGACTGAATTCAATGTGGTTTCTTGGACAGCATCCTGGAAAAGAAAAAAGACAGGACATTAGATAGGGGAGATGGCCATCAGGTGGAAACAAAAGGAGTCTGATAAAGAATGGACTTTAGTTAACAATAAAGTATCAATACAGGTTCATTTACTGTGACAAAAGAGACAAACTAGAGGCTAGTAATAGGGGAATCTGGGATGGGGTTTATGGAAAATGTACTGTGGTTGCAATTCTCTGAAAATCAAAAGCTATTCAAAAATAAGAAATTTATTTTTTGAAAAAAAATAAGTCAAAGCTATTACACTCAGCAATAACCAATGCTAGGTGGATATTCAAGGAAATGTCAAAATACTGATAAGGAGTTATTGGAAAATTAGCAGAACATACAAAAGAAACAGAAGTTTTTAACCTAGGTAAAAGAAAGATTAAAGATGGTTTAGGTGTAGTTGTATATATTTTTCATTAATGATAATAAAGGGAAAACTACAAAATAGCAGAAAGGGGAGATAAAAGTTTTCACAGTTCCATCTAGAACAACTATTATTAGATTTTTTTTTCATTTTTTAAAATATGTCCATGTTTTTGTGGGGTTTTCATGGTTGTAATCATACTTGACATGCACTTTAATCTCTTGTACATTTTTGCCTCCCTTCATTGAAGATAAATCTCACGTAGTCCAAGTCAATTGGCCTCATTGTGCATTATGAAAAGAATTGATTTAAGTAAAAGGGAACCATATGACTTCCCAAGACTACATGTGATGAAACCCAGAATGTGCTCTATTTATCTAGCACACAGTGCAGAGTCATAGGGGATACACATTATATGGGAACTCACTGGTTGTATCTCTTAATTTCACTGTGGAGGTGGTATAATATTTAAGAAGCATACAGAAAGTCAGGGAAAGACCTCTGGCAGGCAAGAGCCACAGAAATAAGAGGTAGGGTACCGAGAACACTGAAGATGGGAAGTGGGCTTGAGGAATTTGGAAAGGGCATGTGTGTTTTAGATGTGAAAAACTATACAATGGTGATGAAACCAAAGAACATGAGGGGAAACCAATTTTTTTTTATTTTTTAGTTATTGGCGGACACAACATCTTTGTTTGTACGTGGTGCTGAGGATCGAACCCGGGCCGCACGCATGCCAGGCGAGCGCGCTACCACTTGAGCCACATCCCCAGCCCGGGAAACCTATTTTTTACATGTGTGGTGTGTGAACCTGATAACAGAAGGGAGGATGTGTTGAGAATAAATTGTTGAATTCTCTAGGTTTCTGTGGGATAGAGTTAAGTTTGGAGGATGTTGTATTAAGGGGCCATAAAATGTGGCCAACAAGCAATATAGTCAAGAGTGGATATGTTTTTAAAAATAGAAAACTGAAAGAATGAAGTTATCTGTGACTATGAAATACCAAGGATGAAAACAAGGTGATGGAGATAAGGAAACACAGCCTTAAAGCATGTGATTCAGAAAAGCAGTGGGAAAGCATGTTAAGATATAACTGAAGCAATGGATGATGCAAAATTGTAATAAAAATATGAAGGCTGTTATCCATGAGCAAATCTGTTTTCTATGAATATTTCTCATGAAATGAGAATACTCATTTGGTGTGTGTATGGGGGGGTGGCTGGTTGGAAAAAATGTGGTATTTTAAACTATAGAGTCTACTGGAAAATTTAATCATTTAATAAAATATTGTAACTGGACACTCCAGCCTTCTGAGAATTTGATGAAACAAATGAGCCTGCTCCAATATAGAAGGGACAGAGTTCACCTCAGATATCTGGCACAAGCCACAGGCAATGTGATGTAAGCATTTCTTTCTCTGTAAAGAAAATGCATCTAAATAAAGTACAAAAATCCTGTCTCAACACAACAGACATGTAATCACTGTGAGTTCAAACTAAATGTGTTAATCTGGAAAAAGCTGTACTGGCAGATTTCTTTTTCCTTCATTAAGCAATGACCTAGCATAGAACAATGCATTCCTTACCATAGCTTCCTCATTTTTGAATGCAAAGTTTAAAAACAGTGTCTATAATGGAAATATATGTGCTGTAGACCAGGTTACCATAATCACATAATAAAATCCAGTAAGCATACCTGTCATGCTTCCTATTCTTTGCTGCACAATTTATTTAAAAAAAATATAGCAAAATCTATGATTTCATTGCAGCAAATGTGGTTATGCATATGAACTGACAGTAGGTACAGCAATGAGGCTACACACCAGAGCTAACATATGCACATTTCTTATTTGTATTTCAAACACAGACCCATGCATAACACACAAACACAGATACACACACACACACACACACACACACACAAACAGATAACTGAACAATGTTTCTTTGAAAGTGCTGGAATTCCATAGATTGGTAGCATTCTCTAAGAGTTCACAAAAATTAAGATAACTACATTATAAATATAAATTTAGGGGGCTGGGATTGGGTACTGGATAGGAGCCTCAATACCACATGAAAGTAAATAAACAAAATAGGGCTTTGTGTCCATCTACAACTAAAAAATATCTTTTACATATAAATTTAGGATAACCAAGTGAAAACATTTGAAATCCACTTTGAGATTAAAATAATGTTACTCATATATTACTGTCCTCTTATATTCCAGATTTTGAATTCATCAGATGTTTCTGTTTTTGTTTTGTAACACAGTATAGGCTTCTGAATTCCCCCAAAATATCAACTCACATAAAAGTTGTTACTAACAATTATGCAGATGATTAAGGGTTCCTAAATGCTTTTATCAACTTCAAGTAAGATATGTTGTGCCTAAGTAAGAACAATACACTCAGTCATTTTAAATACCATCCTCTCCTATTTTTTTCTCCCCACAAGAAAATTAAAGGTTAAAAATAATTTATTCAATTTCACCCAAAGAAACAGCAGAGGTGCTCACAGAAATTCTGCCACCTAGTGCTAAAGCACTCTCTTTGCTTTATAAAGCACTGGAGTACAGCCATTATGCAATCCTTCACAATTTGAAATTATAATTAGATAAAGAGGACAAGGTCATCTTATGTGACCTATTAAACTTCAGTTTGATAATTAGTACTTCCATAAAAGTCAGGCCAAGAGTTTATTTGATTTTCCAATTTAATTCCTCTTACTAATGAAATGGCAACCAAACTCACTGATGTGTAGTTAGTAGCAGTGCTTAGATTAAAAACAAACTTTACTAGAAATAACCATTGTTTTGTATCCTAAAAGTACAAGAAACCTATACATATATGTTTGAGAATTACAGGGTCTTGTAGAGACAATAAGATATGATTATTTAATAACCTAGTAGTTCTCTGAGTTGCTGAATCAGTTCTTCTCATTCAGTAAAAACAACAAGAACACAGTTTGGCACAAATAATCCAAAATAACAGATAACAAAAATAATTTTATTTGTGTTTTGAATGTTGTTGTACATAGTGAAATGTGGCTCACACTGCCTAATACTCCAAAATTATAAATGTCAAATAAAATTATACACATGGAAGAATTAGAAAATTATCAATCTTTCTCAAACAGTAAATTTTTTCCTTGATCTATATTGTTACCATTAAACAAAAGAATATTTTGCATGAGTTTAAAGTTTCTATCCTAAGCTTTGTGTTCAATGCCTTCCCTGAATTGGTAAGAAATGAGTTTTTTTTTTTTAACTTCACACTGGGCTATCAAATGCACAGAAAAATTAAACAAAACAAGGTACCCAGTTGTGGCAACCTCCAAACACATTATTGAAACTGCTGGTCTATTGACCATTATATGAAACATCTTAAGGGTTGCAATTATATGTTTTTAACCTATCCTAGTAGTATCTCAACAAAATTTTGATTGAATGTATGAATGAATGATATTAACACAAAGTTGAACATAAAATTTAGATATCTTTAATTAAGTATAAAATCTGAATGGAGATTTGGAGACACAAAATATGTGTTCAAATCTTAGGGGAAGTGAACACTCTTGTAATTACAGTGGCTCAGGAGGCTGAGGCAAGAGGGTCACAAGTTCAAGGCAGCCTCAGCAACTTAGTGAGGCCGTAAGCAACTTAGTGAGACTGTCTCAAAATTTAACAAAATAAAAATTAAAATAGGTCTGGGAATGTGGCTCAGTGGTAAAAGCTCCTCTGAATTCAATCTCTTCTAACACACACACACACACATACACACACACACACACAATCACAAATTACATGATTTTGAACTCCACCTCAGTGCACTTTCCCCTCTGAATAAAAGGGCAGACACCAATGTATTTCATAGTAGCTGTAAAGGCAAAATGAGGTAATAAATATGAAAGTCCTTTGTATACTTTTTTAAAAAATTATATCTGAGCTGGGTTGCCGCAGTCTGCCTGGGCACAATTCAGGAGCCACTTGTCAAAAAGAAACTAACTTTATTTTTAGAACTACAAACGGCCAAACAAAACAGCTCCTTAGGGAAAAAACCCTCAGAGCCCAACTGCCACCACCGGCTTCCACAAGCCTCTCTCCCCCACACCAGCCTCTCAACCTCCCACAATCCTCCTGCTCTTGAGGCCGATTGGCTGGGTTGCGTGGGCAGAGCCAAAGAAGTCCCCCAATGAGCAGCTCCGTGGAGGAGCCAATCAGCTAGATGTTGCTGGGGCCGCTGTGAGCCAATCATCAGCTGGCAGTCTGAAGGGCAGGGAAACAGCCCAATGAACATCACCGCAGAGGAGCCAATCAGCTAGATGTTGCTGGGGCCACTGTGAGTCAATCATCAGCTGGCAGTCTGAAGCTTGCTGGCAGCTGGAAGTTTGCTGGGGCCCCTTTGGCTGTGGCTCTCAACACTGGGTGTGGTGGTGCATGCCTTTAATCCCAGTGGCGTGGGAGGCTGAAGCAGAAGAATTGGGAGTTCAAAGCCAGATGCAGCAAAAGCTAGGTGCTAAGCAACTCAGTGAGACACTGTCTCTAAATAAAAGATACAGAGTTGGGCTAGGGATGTGGCCCAGTGACCCAGTGCCCCTGAGTTCAATCCTCAATACCAATAATAAAAAGATATTTGCTGTTATTATACTACATTATACACATGTAAGAAATACATGCATGAAATTTATAAAATCTTTTAACATGCAACATGACAACTTACATTTAAAATATTTCCCCAAATTAAATGAGCTTTTAACATTTCTCTTTAGCCTACAAATAAATTCAACCAAAAATGTATATATATCTTCCTTCAAAGCTCCTAGCTTTTTCTCTTCTCAAGTAAATATTGTCAAAGAATGAATACCTATGCCTCCTCTTCCTCAATGTACTAACACCTGACCTGGCCACCACTGCCTGCAGAAGAGCTTCATACAGCCAATCCGTTAGTTTTTCTTCTCAGTTTTTGCTTTATGTTATCCCTGAAGATTTCTTTTTCAGCACCTCTCATAACTATGTTGGCTTCTTCAAAACAGCAATACCTATTTCTTTCTATAATTATTTTTTTAACTGGTTCAGCTTCTTGTTCTTCAAATGCAGCTGCTATATGAGGTTTACATCCTTGCACCTCTTTTTTGGTCACCCTATTTTTTTTCTTAGATGATCAACTTGCTTCAACAGACTCAGGCATCATCTTGGCATAGCCAGCTTCTAAATCCATGTATTTATCCCAAGATACCTTCAAAATATTTCCATCTGCATGGTCTTCATTCTGTTTGAAGTGAAATTCACTACCTTTCTCCCTTCTCCCTTCCTTTGTTACCACTAATGGTAGTTAGTTGAACAAAAATTCATCAGTGACTTTTCCACTCTTTCACCCTTCTCATTTCCACATTCTATTCACATAATCTATTGATTCCATCTCTGAAGTGTCTCTCTAATGCATCTACTCTCTCCTCCATTTAAATTTTACCATCTTCATTGGGGCTTAGTTATTTCTTTTTTGAAATATTTTCACTACCTCTTATCTAAGCTCTCTCAAAATTTGAATCCGTCCTATGAATGCATGACAAGGAAATTAAAACACTCCTCTACTTTTGATGTTCACACCCTATCTGGAAAATAAACTCCAAACTCTTCGTCATGGCATTTGGGACCCTGCTAATCTATTTCCAACCTGTTTTTCTACTCCTAACTTTGCCCACACTGTACTCTCTCTATAGAACATTTTATAAACTAAGTGCCCTGGATCACGGTGTTCCCTCTATCTGTTATAGTTGTTCTTCATTTTGGGTCTATGTATATGTCATTTTTTCTGTAATACCGTTTGTGTCTTGCCTTCTCTCATACCCTTCCTTACACTATTATGAAAAGTACATTTTAATTATGGAAAGTGTTCATCTCCTCTATTGCAGTAGGCCAAAATGGAAAAGTCTTACTGATTTTGATTTACTTTGGGTAGCACAATATCTGACAAAGAGAGTATCCACTAAATACTAAACTGAGCAGACCTATTCCTCATTTAAATTGGCTATACCAAAGAATCATTCTTATCTGTAAAACATCATACTGATTTTTTTGGTCAGTTATCATTATAATGTCATTCTTTTTTGTACTGAGGATTGAATCCAGAGGTGGTTTACCACTGAACTATATCCCCAGCCTTTTTTATTTTTCATTTTGACACAGGGTCTCACTGAGTTGCTAAGGGCCTCACTTAGTTGCTGACACTGACCTTGAACTTGTGCTCCTTCTGTCTCAGCCTCCTAAGTTACTGCAGTTAGCATTGGAATGAAGTGAAAATCATTTGGCTTTGGTAATAATAGGGAAAATGTACCCTAAAGATGAATTATCCATTGTAATCTTAGTTTGTCATAAATCAAATAGTTAAATTTCTCTCTTGCAGTCAGTTTGGAAGAAAACAAGGAAGTTATTCAAAAATCCAATCAAATGACTGCAAAATACAAAAAAACAAAATATAAAACCTTTACTAGCACTATTAGACTACCAAGGTAGGAATCATAATGCCTATTAATTTTTTTGCACATTAAAAAGCTAAAGATATAGTAAAGTCTAAATATACTATTATTTTAATGAAAAGTAACCTCAGAGAAATTTCATATATGCTAAAGGAGTAGTGTTAAATCAATATCATAAAATATTTCTGTATAACGCTTTAAAAAATATAATAAATACTATTTTAATGAAATTACCTTCAACCTTGCTCTATGACTGAGGTGTCAGCAAACTATATCCTATGGGCAAAATGTGGCTCCTCACCTGTTTTTTGTTAAAAAAAAAAAGTTTAACTGGCACACAGATACACTCACTTCTGTTCTGTCAGAGTCTGCTTTTGCTCCATATTGGCAAAGGTGAGTAATTTAGACAGAGATTGAATATCACACCAAACATAAGATATTTATTATCTGATCCCTTGAAGAAAAATCTGGTCAACTCTACTATAGTTATAGATTTCCAATATAGCAGTTGGAAATCTAGCTGAAAACTAATCTAATTTGTATATTACGGATTCTTATTCTAGAGTTTAGAATCTTTATGAAAAGATGTCATTTCAACAAATTTTTTTTAAAAGGCACAAAGATGATATGATAGGAATGTACAGATATCAAGTACATGGTAAACACAAGGAATTTACATACAGAATTTTTAAAAAAACTAAATCAGTTTATTTTAGTACTTTTTTAAAAGCCTGCCTTATTATTCACTAAATAGGAAAAAGAATGGCTCATTTTTATAATAGAATATGTTACTGAAAATGAAGTTAGAAAACTTAATTTTCAGTAACATATTCTATTATAAAAATAAAACTACAGTGGTCTCAATAAAAAAGAAAAACAATTCTTTTATTGAGAGAGAGAGTTTTTTTAATATTTAGTTTTTAGTGGACACAACATCTTTATTTCATTTTTATGTGGTGCTGAGGATTGAACCCAGCAACCCACGCATGTCAGGCAAGCGCTCTATCGCTTGAGCCACATCCCAGCCCCCAATACTTTTTATAGGAATAAAAGGGTAAAATCATGTATAATTAATTATTTTTTTTTAAATAAGAGGAGAAAAAGCCTGAAAGAGGAAGAAGAAGAAAGCAAAAGAAAGAAAGAGAAAGAACGGGAGTCAGAGAAAGAGACAAGAGAGACTGGAAAGGGAAGGGAGAACCCAGTACGTCATTCTCTAATCAATATGAAGCCAATCTATGTGCCAAAATTAAGGCCATCTCGTACATGGGAAAAAAATTTGTCAGGATGGCAAGATGTACAAAGGTTGAGATCCTGATTCAGGTAGTAAATATTCTGTGGAAGAATTCCTCCTTGTTCTAGAAGAATCCTTAGGGTAAAAATTTTTTGAGGGGCTCCAACATGGTGGCAGGCAGAGAGGCAGCGCTTTCAATACCCCCTCAGTGATGGGGTCATAAAGACACATAGACAATGCTTAGATTCTACCAACGAAGAATCTCCTAGCAAAATTACACTGAAGAGAGACTGGCCGGAGCTACTAGGATTTTTTGAAGTGACAGTTTGCCCCAGATGAGCAAATCCCTGCCACGAGACGCAGAAGTCCAGATCCGCTAGCCGCAGTCCACGCACTGCATTGTGACTGCCGGCCCGTCCACCCGTAGCCAACGTGACTGGGTCCTGCTAGCCTCCGAGACGCAGCTTGGCAGGAAGAGGTCTTTATCCAAGCCTTCATGAAATAGTGAGCCAGGAGCTGAGGCCAACCGGGGACGGACCAGTCCCACCCCTCCCTTGGACACTCCGGCAAGGAGCCTGGGGCCTGCCATAGCAGAGAGGTGACATCATTGGAGTTCGGACGACGGAATTCCTTCCCAGCAGAATCCAATTTAGCAGGTGTGTGACTCCCTCCCCATCCAGATACAAGCAGCCAGGACATTTCAGGGATCTCTCAGGGGTCCTGTCTGTAGGGAAGCAGAGGGGATCCCTGACCTCCAACCCCCCATATCACCAGTGGTGACTCCCAAGGTCTTAGCCACCAGTTTACCATAGCACTGGGGCTTAAATGGGGCTGCAAGTGTAACTAGATCTCTGGGGAACCGCTTCTGGTGAACAGGACCTGGCTGGCTGGCTGACAGGAGGAAAGGGGTGAGGGCCGGAGAAGTGAAATGGCTCTGGACTGACAAGTCTGAGAGACTTCCAGGAGACGCCTTACAGGGATTGCTATCGGCAGGTAGAGGGCAGAAGCTCCGCTCAGAGGGCACTACTGGAAGAGAAGAAAATGGATCTCTAAGACTTCAACTTTTTTTTTCTTCTCTCTCTGTTCCTCTCTCCCCTTTTCCTTCTTTCTTTCTTTCCTGTTTCAAGTTTTATTATTCTTTTCATTCTCCTCTAATCTATCTATCTCTCTCTCTCCTTCTTTCTTTTTAAGAGCACCTTCATTCCCCTAACCCCAACTTTCATCCCAAGCATTACGTCTTCCATTACATGTAATTGTCTAAATGCAAATAGGTGACTGTCTCAAGGCTGTCTATATGGCTCCTAAATACCTAGCTACTACCAACATCCTGATCCAACTGCCTGTTAGTATCCACCTTCAGTAGAGCATTCTTCTAAAGTAGCCAAGACATACTAACCTTCATACCATCATAGCACCTAACCTAAACATAAAGTCCTAAGAACAAACAACAAAATACTATATGCATACAGAACCTGGAAGCCTTTTTATGAATTGAATGAATCAGCTTTAAAGTATAATAAAGCCTAACATTTCTAGGCATAATCTCCCACCACAAAGGAGAGACAACAGAGATATACAAAGCCAAAACAAATGTATAGGAGAAAGCAGTTACAAAGCAGTCAAACAGAGCTGGAAAGTAACGTGAACAACATGAAAAAACAAGGGAAAAAAGGTTTACAAACAATGCAGGACAACTTAAATCTACTGGAGGACCTAGAAGCATCAGAAACATGGACAGGGAAAGAAATCAAGGCATACCTAACTCAGATGGAACGGAATACTAGAGAAGACATGATACAGCAAGTCCAAGCAATGAAAGTATACTTTGAAAACGAATTAAACAAACAAATTCTAACTGCAAAGAATGAGCTTTACAAGGAGATAGAGATTTAAAAAAAAAAAACAAACAGTAATCCTAGAAATGCAGGAAACCATAAACCAGATTAAAAACTCTAACGAGAATATTACAAATAGACTAGGTCAAGTAGAAGTCAGAACATCAGATAATGAAGACAAAGTTTATCAACTTGAAAAGAATATAGTCAACACAGAAAAGATGCTTAAATCTCACGAGCAATCTATCCAAGAGATATGGAATCTCATGAAAAAAACAAATTTGAGAGTCATTGGGATAGAAGGCGGAACAGAGGTTCAAACCAAAGGAATGGACAACCTATTAAATGAAATAATCCTAGAAAACTTCCCAGAGATGAAAGATGGAATTGATTGCCAAATCCTGGAAGCCTACAGGACCTCAAACATCCAAAACCGTAATAGACCAACTCCAAGACATATAATTATGAAGATAGCTAACATACAGAACAAGGAGAGAATCTTAAAAGCTACGAGAGAAAGGAGGCAGATTACATTCAGGGGTAAACCAATTAGGTTAATGACTGATTTTTCATCACAGACTTTGAAAGCAAGAAGATCCTGAAACAACGTATTTCAAACGCTGAAAAATAATGGATTCCAACCAAGAATACTGTATCCAGCAAAATTAAGCTTCAGATTTGACAATGAAATTAAAATATTTCATGATAAACAAAAGCCAGAAAACCAGCACTGTAAAGCATTTTGAGCAAAATGCTAAAAAAAAAAAAAAGAGGAATTGAAAAATAGCTCCCAAAACTAACAGTGGGAGGTATCTCAGTAAAGGGAGAGGAAAATAACCAAATAGGAAAAACTAGCCAAACTAAAATAAATAAATAAATAAACATGACTGGAAGTACAAACCATATTTCAATTGTAACCTTAAATGTTAATGGCTTAAATTCACCAATCAAGAGACATAGGCTAGTAACCTGGATTTAAAAAACAAATCCAACAATATGCTGCCTTCAGGAGAC